TTATTTCTAATCCGTCTCTATTCTTTTTCACAACCTTGCTGAATGAATTATTCCCTGCCTTTGCCTTGACCACCCATCTTCCTACCTTATATATGTGTTTAATCTTCCACTTTAAAAAAGACATTTCCTACCCTCCTAATAGCTCAAAATGTCCTTCATTTCTTGGGAAAATAATTTACATTTGTTGTCTCTAAAGTATAACCTCTAACTCACCATTCTATTCCAACAGTTTCTAAAATATGGCTCCCAGATGGGCATCATTGGCATCCCCTATGAACCTGTTGCAAATGCAAGTTCTTGGTCCCTATCCAAGAACTAATGGATGAGAAACTCGAGAGTGGGGCTCAACCATCTATGTTTCCATAAGCCCTCCCAGTGATACCATTGCATGCTAATATATTTTCTTTTTTACAGTAAAATTGGATTATAACATTATAAAGCTTTCAGACGTACATTGTAATATATTTTGAATTCTGTGTAGAGTACATCATGTTCACCACCCAAAAACTAATTATAGCCCATCACTTCACATGTGAGCCTAATCACCCCTTTTGCCCTCCCATCTCTGCCCTTCCCCTATGGTAACTAGTGCTCCAATCTCTCTTGCTATGTGTTTGTTTGTCCCTATTTCTATCTTCTACTTATGAGTGAGATCCTACGGTATTTGACTTTCTCTCTCTGACTTATTTCACTTCGCGTAATACCCTCAAGGTCCATCCGTGTTGTCACAAATGGCCACATTTCGTCATTTCTTATGGTTGAGTAGTATTCCATTGTGTATATAAACCATATCTTCTTTATCCATTCATCCATTGATGGGCACCTAGATTGCTTCCAAGTCTTGGCTATTGTGAATAATGCTGCAGTGAACATAAGGGTGCATGTATCTTGATGCGTTTGCGTTTTCAAGTTCTTTGGATAAATACCCAGCAGTAGGATAGCTGGATCATATGGTAGATCTATTCTTAATTTGCCGAGGATACTTCATACTGTTTCCATAGTGGCTGTACCAGTTTGCATTCCCACCAGTAGTGTAGGAGGGTTCCCTTCTCTCCACATCCTCTCCAACACTTTATGTTTCCTGTCCTGTTAATTATAGCTATTCTGAGTGGAGTGAGGCGATAGCTCATTGTACTTTTGATTTGCATTTCCCTGATAGCCAATGATGTTGAGCATCTTTTCATATGCCTGTTGGCCATCCGTATCTCAACATAATAAAGGCCATTTATGACAAACCCACAGCAAATATCATTCTCAATAGAGGAACTGAAAGCCATCCCTCTAAGAACAGGAACAAGACAAGCATGCACACTTTCACCACTCTTATTTAACACAGTACTCGAAGTCATAGCCAGAGCAATCAGGCAAGAAAAAGAAATAAAAGGGATCCATATTGGAAAAGAAGAAGTGAAACTGTCACTTTTGCAGACAACATGATTTTATATTTAGAAAACTCTAAAGAATCCACTAAAACTTTTAGAAATAATAAATGAATACAGTCAAGTCGTGGATACAAAATCAACATAAAAAATCAGTATGTTTCTATACACTAACAATGAAGTGGCAGAAAGAGAAATTAAGAATACGATCCCATTTACAATTGCAACAAAGAGAATAAAATACCTAGGAATAAACTTAACCAAAGAGGTGAAAGATCTGTACACCGAAAACTATAAAACATTGTTGAAAGAAATTGAAGAAGACACAAAGAAATGGAAAGATATTCCATGCATTCTATCCCCTTGCATTGGAAGAATTAACATCTTAAAATGTCCATACTTCCTAAAGCAATCTATAGATTCAATGCAATCCCTATCAAAGTTCCAACAACATTTTTCACAGAAATTGAACAAAGAATCCTAAAATTTATATGGAACAACAAAAGACCCCGAATAGACAAAGGATTCCTGAGGAAAAACAACAAAGACGGAGGTATCACAATCCCTGATTTCAAAATATACTACAAAGCCATGGTAACCAAAACAGCATGGTACTGGCATAAAAACAGATACACAGATCAATGGAACAGAATAGAGGGCCCAGAAATACACTCACCCATTTATGGACAGCTAATATTCGACATGGGAGCCAAGAGCATACAATGGAGAAACGAGAGTCTCTTCAATAAATGGTGTTGAGAAAACTGCACAGCCACATGCAAAAGAATGAAAATAGGCCATTACATTACACCATGCACAAAAATCAACTCAAAATGGATTAAAGACTTGAATGTAAGACCTGAAACCATGAAACTTCTAGAAGAAGACATAGGCAGTATGCTCTTTGACATCGGCCTTAGCAGCATGTTTTCAAGTACTATCTCTGACCGGGCAAGGGAAACAAAAGGAAAAATGAACAAATGGGACTACATGTAACTAAAAAGCTTCTGCATAGCAAAGGAAACCATCAACAAAACGAAAAGACAACCTAACAATTGGACAACATATTTGCAAACCGTATATCAGATAAGGGGTTAATATCCAAAATATACAAAGAACTCATGCATTGCAACACCAAAAAAAAACAACATCCCAACTGAAAAATGGGCAAAAGATCTGAGCAGAGATTTCTCCAAAGAAGATAACATTTTATTAGTTAACTAAATAAATATGGAGGTCAAAAGATGGAAGAGTTGAGCAAGCTTATGGTGGTTTGTCTCATTTGAAGTAAGGAGAAAAATGCTGTTTGTGAAACTGAAACATATAGTAGATGTAAAATCATTGCGAATGTAAAATGTTAATGATTTCATAATAATTATTTTAATCCAAGGGATATTTTAGGAATCAATATTTCTGGTTTTGATTTAAAAGTTTATGTTTATCAATTTTTTGAATTTCACCTTTGGTTTTTTTTTTTGTTATTTTCAAGCTAAAATAAATGTGATGGTTTATACTAAGTGATATAATTTTATTCTGTTTTATGAAATTATTTCTAAATGTCTATTAAGATATTTATGTATGCTCATAAGTCTCTTTCAGTACATATCCGTAAAAAGACTTTGGGGATGTTGAAAAGATTTATACTAGATGATGACAGTTTTTTTCCTCACTTTTTCCTTTTTTCTACTTTTTAATACCATTGAGTTTGTTGCTGTTGTTGTAATAAGGAGTAGGAGTCAACTTTATAAATTATAGTATCTTGCTTTTTGTTAGAAATAACACGTTTATCATAAATTAGACCTAAATAAAAATCTAAATAAATCAAATCTAAATAAAAGTCTACAAAATAAATGTGGGAATAAATCTTCATGCCCTTGTCCTTGGATTAGGCAATGGTTTAGATATGACACCAAAAACAGGCAACAAAAGAAAAAAAAAATAAACTGAATTACATCAAAATTTAAAACTATTGTGCTTCATAGGAGACTATTAAGAAAGAAAAAAAGACAATCGAAGCAATGGGAGAAAATTTTTTTTGCAAATCATGTATCTAATAAGGGTCTAGTATCCAGAATATGTAAAGAACTCTTACAACTCAATAATAAAAAGACATGTAACCTAATTTAAAAATGAGCAGAGGATATGAAGAGACATTTCTCCAAAGAAAATATACAAATAGCCAATGAGCCCATGAGAAGATGATCAACATCCTGGGTCATTAGGGAAATTCAAATCAAAACTACATTGAGACACCACACACACCCACTGGAATGGCCATAATTTGAAAATCAAAAAAGCCAACAGAAAATACCAAGTGTTGGTGAGGATGTGGAGGAGTTGGAACCCTCATCCAATGCTCCTGGGTATGTAAAACGCTGTAGCTGCTTTGGAAAACAGTGTGGTACTTTCTCAAAAAGTTAAGCAGAGAGTTAGTATATGATGCAGCAATTCCACTCTGAGGCATATCCCCAAGAGAATTTAAAGCATACATCTACACAAAACCTGGCACAGTCAGGTTCACAGCAGCATTATTCATAATAGCCAAGAAGAGGAAGCAATCCGAATGTCCATCAGCTAATGAATGGACAAATAAAATGTGATCCAGCCAAGGAATGCTGGATAATAATGTATATTATTATATATTGGAATAATTATATGTTACAATCCAATAATTATATATTGGAATGGTGGAATTATTCAGCCGTGAATAATAAACCTTGAAAATATCCTAAGTGAAAGTAGGCAGAAATGAAAGGCCACATAGTATATGTATTGTCCATTTATATGTAATGTCCCAAATAGGCAAATGCAGAGAGAAAGTAGATTAGCGGTTGCCTAAGGCTGGGGTAGGGGGAGGGTTGTGGGGTGAGGAGGCATTGAGGAGTGGCTGCTAATGGGTACTGGGTTCCTTTTTGGGGTGATGAAAATGTTCTCGCATTAGATAGTGGTGTTGGTTGCACGACCTTGTGAATATACTAAAAAATACTGAATGGTACACTTTAAAATGGAGAGTTTTATGATATGTGAATTATATCTCAATAAAGAAATGAATCACCTCAAAAGAACAAAAGACATTTGCGTTTCTTCACCCTCTGTTTTCCTTCTCCAGCACCCGAGGAGCAGAACCTGGAAGTGGGACCAGTGGGAGGGAGTCAGTCAGCAGACCTCGCCTCACACGAGGTCCCCGCTGCCCGTCCTGTGAGTAGGGAGGGGGTTGCTTTGCATTAGATGAGAAAATAGAGTTAAACTGAACTGGATCGTTCTACTGACTAAAAGAGATGGACATGCAATGATAGGGGCCTCAAATGGCCTTGCGGCCTGGGAAAGGAAGGCTTTCAGAGCAAGTTGAAGGCGGGGATGGTACAAGAAGTCAAATCACTCTGTTTGAGTTTTACCGGATTGACGCTTCTCAGTAAAGGGTCACATTGATGTAGTGCGTGGGGAAGAGCTTGTGCAGGCAACGCCGCATGAACCAAAGCTACCAGTGGTGTTCTTGTTTGGGGAGGACGGGGTACGTGCTCTGAAAGGATGAGGGTCAGACAGCACAGTGCGCCTGGGTCCTGACCTCTCAGTACCAGTCCTTACGAAAAGGAGTCGGGGCTCGCAGAAACAGCTGGTTCCCACCGGAGCTGGGAATGGGCAAGGCAGGACTGGGGAAACTCGTTTCAAAAAAAAGCAAATACCGGCCAGCCCAGTGGCGCAGCGGTTAAGTTCGCACGTTCCGCTTTGGCAGCCCGGGGTTCGCTGGTCCAGATCCTGGGTGCGGACCTACACACTGCTTATCAAGCCGTGCTATGGCAGGCGTCCCACATAAAATAGAGGAGGATGGGCACGGATGTTAGCCCAGGGCCAACCTTCCTCAGCAAAAAGAGGAGGATTCACGGCAGATGTTAGCTCAGGGCTAATCTTCCCCCCGCCCCCTCCAAAAAAAAACAGGTTTTCAAAGACAGGATTGTGTCAAAGAGACACAGAAGCAAGCTGAAGGGGACTCAACGAGCCAAGGTTGGGGTAATTTCCACTAACCCATTATTAGGAAATTGTTAATTAGATGGAAGGAATTAAGCGTTTATCCTACCTTTCCAGTGAGAAATGTATTTCAGAGTAAACAGACATTCCCAAGTGATGAGGGAAAGCTCTTCTGTAGAGAGGAATGCCAGCTAATAAATGTAGGACCAATGAGAGAACAAAGTTTGAGTTTCATCAACCCTTACGAAATAGTTGATCCAGACAATTACCAGCAGATACCAAAACCATGAGGTGAAAGTCTGATGCAGCACTTTCTGTCTGCATGGTGTCATATTATCCCGTGATAAACATAACTGTTCAATAGACGCTGTCACCGCTTTAACACGGGTCACTCCCAGCGTTGCTAACAGGGGCAACACCACACGCTGTACCTCCCCATGTGATGCAGTATGTCATAAACAGCATCGCCTGTGAAATGATTCTTGGCAAAATATTCAAAATCAGACCAATTAAGACTTAGATCTAACTTACCATTTTTGGGAAATATAGGAGAAAGAAGAACAAAATAACTGATATCAAAAGGAAACAATCGGGTGAATCTAGAAGTTGAAACATTCTATAAGACAACCGTTCTGACCTCTTCAACAAGTCATTGTAATGGGGAAAAATGAGAGGCAGAGAGGCTGTTTTAGACTGATCGAGGTTTAGGAGACCTAAGAATTAAATGTAACATATATCCTTGATCAGATCTTGATTAAAAAGACAATTGTAGAAGCCACTTGAGGAATATTACTGTAGTCTGAATATGGACTGAGCAGTATCTTAAAAAATTCCTGTTAAATTTTTTAAGCGGAACAATAGTATTATGGTTATGTAGGAAAATATCTTTATTTTTTTGGAGATACTTACTAGGCTATTTCAAAGTAAGAAAGTATACTGTAATTTGCTTTAAAATACCTCAATAATAACAACAAAGAATGAAGCAAATTTGCCCAAATATTAACCATTGTTAAATCTAAGTAAGATTTTTTGAGTGTTCATTATACTATTCTTTTCTATGTGCTTAAAAATTTTTATAATGAAAGCTTTAAAAGATAAACAAAAAAGTGAACTTCAACAACTCTAAGACTCTTCTAGAGCCGCCTCTTTAATCTTTAGTCCTTCACCGACAAGTCATCTTCCATCAACTGCTGTCTTCCTTCTCCCATGGTCTAAACACTTGTCAATGCATCACGCTAATTGATTGGAAACTCTGTCACCATGCTTGTATACATAACACAATAAGAAGAAGAGAAGCGTCGCTGTTAGGAGGCAAAACGTCAGCAATTCTGATTTCACTGATTGAAATGTTTCACTGTTCTGTTGGAGCTGAGTGACAATTACGTCCCCCCATCAGTTTTTTCTTTTTATAATTCATTGTATTTTTATAAAATTATATGTAAGTAGTTTTAAGACTCAAATAATGCAGAAAGACAAGTCCCTTGTGTACCGTCCGTCACTTAGGAATGTGTAGAGAGCAATGAAATTAAGAGTAAGGATGACAGAGAAAATGAATAAAACCAAAATTGGTTCGTCAAAAACAGTAAGACAGAACTCTGATAAGATTTTTAAAAAAAGAAAGGAAAAAGTAAACAAAGAAGTAGCAACTAGAGAAAGTAGAAAAGGAGAAATAACTGAAGACAAAAATGAGATTTAAATTGTAAACTAATGTTTTTCTTTTTCTTTTTTTTTTTTTTGAGGAAGATTAGCCCTGAGCTAACTGCTGCCAATCCTCCTCTTTTTGCGGGAAAGACTGGCCCTGAGCTAACATCTGTGCCGATATTCCTCCACTTTACACGTGGGATGCCTACTACAGCATGGCTTTCCAAGCAGTGCCATGTCCGCACCCAGGATCCGAACCGGCGAACCCCGGGCCTCCGAGAAGCAGCACATGCGCACTTAACCGCTGCGCCACCAGGCCGGCCCCTGTAAAATAATTTCATAGTAAATATGCACCAATATTTTAAAACCCACCAAAAAATGGATAAATTTCTGGAAAAATAAAAAGTTCTAATGTTGATGAAAGAAGAAAGAGAAAATTAGAATAGACCAATAAGCATTAAAGAAAATGAAATTGCAATTAAGCACTTCTCCCGAAAAAGCACAGGCCGAGACAGTTTGACAGGCGGGGTATGCCAAATTTTCAAAGGATGGATACTCTTATTACATACTCTGTGTTTCAAAAAATAGAAAATGAGCAAAGGCTGCCAAGATGATTTATGAGGCTAGTGTAACTCTGAATCCAAAAACTGGATAAGGACATTATTTAAAAAGTTAGGCTGATATCATATATAACATATATTTTTATATCCAATATAAAATATTAGCTAACTGAATCCAACAGTGAATTTAAAAAAATAATAACTCAACGGAGAAACTTTAGAAGCATCCCCTTGAAGATTAATGGAAAATAAAAACCTGTCTACCCCCATGACTACCCGTTAAAATTATACTGGATGCTCGGCAGTGCTATGAGAAAATGCAATAAGCGATATGGGGATTGGAAGTAAAGAGATCAGCTGTCATTTTGTGAAAAACAATATGATTAACGTAGAAAAATCAACAGAATCAACAAACCAGTGCAACTGTCTGGATGTACCGTATCTTATTCAATCAGTTCCCTGTTAACAGGCATTGGAACTGATCTTTTGCTGTTAAAAATCGTGCCATGATGAATAACCCTGTGCGTGAGTTGTTACATATTTGTGGGGGTGAGTCTTCAGGGTAAATTCCCAGAAGTGGTATTGCTAAATCAAAGTGTAGATGCATATGGAAGTTTGTTAGCCAAATTCACTCCAAGTGGTTGCACCATTTTATGTCCCAACCAACAATATGTGAGTGCCTGTTTCTTCACAGGCTCGATAACAAAGTGCATTGTCAAACATTTGGATTTTTGTCAATCTGATAGGTGTAAGGTGTTATTAGTATCTTATTGTAGTTTTCATTTACATTTCTCTATAGTGTAGGTTGAGTGAGGTTGAAAATCTTTTTGTATGTTTAAAACCATTTGCTGGGTCCCGCCAGGTGGCGCAGTGGTTAAGTTCACATGTTCCGCTTCGGTGGCCCGGAGTTTGCTGGTTCAAATCCCTGGTGTGGACCTATGCACTGCTTGTCAAGCCATGCTGTGGCAGGAGTCCCACATATAAAGTAGAGGAGATGAGAACGGATGTTAGCTCAGGGCCAGTCTTCCTCAGCAAAAAGAGGAGGATTGGCAGCAGATGTTAGTTCAGGGCTAATCTTCCTAAAAAAAAAAAAAAAAACACCCGTTGCCTGTGTTTTTCTGGTCTCTTTTTACCTATTTTTCTATTGAGTTTTTGCTTGTCTCAGTTTTTGAAAAGTAGCTTTGTTTTTTTGTAGTTAAAAAGAGGAAAACAATCTGAATGTCCACAAATTTGGGGATGGGTTAATTATTCTATATGCATACTATGCGATACTATACAGCTATAAAGATTAAAGTTGGTAGGCTATGATTCTATGGAAAGATCCCCACCTATACTGTTCAATAAAAAAGCAATGTTTAGAATAATTTAAATACCATGATCCCATCTCAGAAAAAAATAAGGTCATACATAAGGCTGTATGTAAGAAACTGTTATATTTTCCACTGGGAAGTTGCCAAGGGTTGAAGATGAAGAGAAAGGTTTTATTTTTCATTTTATAGCCTTCAGTATTGCAAGTGAGTTTGAACAGCAAATCTCAATCAACAAACTCAGTCCATAGTGTGCATAAGGTGCAAGAAACTCTTTTCAGATTCCAAGCCCCATCCCTCTGGCAAATGGGAAATTCAGCCGCAGTTGTCATGGGCCCTCCTCCCTTCACCCACAGAGCGAAGGCCCTGCAGTCTAACACAGCGGCCACGTGTCTTTCAACGACTGAAATAAAGACCACCACAGGTAGAGGGAATACAAAGCTGAGTGTATTCACTTGCCAGGCAGGGGAACACACACCGGAGAAGAAACTCACTGAGTAGTTCTCCGAGAAAAAAATCAAAGGGTTTTTTTAAGGACCAAAAAATTGGTTATGCTAAGCGTTGGATACCAGCACCCTGGAGAGAACCAAAGGAGCCTACAGACCTGTGTAGAGGTGGCTGAAGCAAGTCCTGTCATCGGTTGGTCACTTAGGTCCTGCAAGGGGCTGGAGTACGGGGGTCACTCAAAGTTCACGGTCCTTCCTCAGCGTTAACTGATCGGCCCCACGCCATGGAATACAAGGTTCCGTTTGTACATCCCTGGGCAAACGCTGCTGTCCGTGGAAAGTGTTCTACCATCCCCTCTCTTAGTCCTCCCTTTCCCACAGCGTCACGGTGACCGCAGAGAGCACAGGCAGTTTCCCAGATTTCAGGTCTACGCCGCTATCTTTGATTCACATGACAGTCTCACACGATTTCTATGTGTTTATTTAGGTCACTTTGGTTTCTTTTGTTGTAGAATCTTCTAGCCTGTGAACCAACAGAATAGTGGTGGTGCAGCACCACTTAAGACCGTGCTAAAAATGCACTTGACGCAGCTGCAGTGAGAACACAGCCAACGTCGCAGAACGTCCCCTAACAGCCTCCTGTCTGGTGCTCAGCTGTAAACTTCCCATTGGTTGGCTGTTCCCACCTGGGACGACCACTTGACTTGTTCTTGACTTTCATGAAGGAACCACTGTCTCACCCTGAAGCATCTACTCAAACGCAAGCCAGGGCTCAAACGCTGCTGTGTCTTGTCAGCGTTAACTACAGTGCGTCTGTTTCCAGCACCGTGGCAGCAACTAGGACAAGGCTTTCTTGCTGAACCTGTATAGTGACACAGTCCACACAGCTTCACTTGCTGTCGTTGCCTTTGTTAGGGACAGTTTCAAAGGCAGCATTCCAAATCAGAGATCCTAAGCCAGAGGACGAAACGCACACACAGAGTACTGGAACCATGATCTCAGGCACATGGATATAAGAGCCAGGTCATTGAGACGCCACCAGCGGAGAGGTAGGAATGCTCCTTAATGGTGGAGGAACCTTTCCCAGGTGACACACCCCTTCCTCTCTCTGAGTCCCAACTTTTGTAGTGATAACGCTGTCGCACAAATACAGGAAGCCATGACAGGTGTACCCTGTAATTTGGGTAAATTGTCTAAGTATCCTTCTCAAGTGTCTGAGAGGCGTTATGACCAAATACGCCTTAGATTACAACACAGGAGAGCAGAGAGATTTTCCTTGATGGATCAGTTGAGAGAAAGGGTGTTAGTAGTCATTTCCTGTGTCGTGGCACGATCAGCGATATTTTAACTGGCTTCACAGAAAACCTATCATCCTGGATGGCGTAATTTTTACTGATGAGGTTGTTAATTGTGAGCTCGTCAGAAGCAAAATTTAATTTCCACGGATGAATCTTATCATAACTGGAGCTGGTGGGATTTTTAGCAGAAAACTTTAATAGAAGGGACCTCCTGGTATCCAGGGAAGGGGCACAAACTCAGTTAGTTACATATCCTAAGGCTCCTCCAGCCTTACTGAGTCCAACAGATGTGTTATCTATACAAAGTCTATCCCAGAATTAGGAGAATTGGGATGGTCATTTAAAAAAGAAAATGTTTTGTAATTTAAAGTAGTTAACAAAAGAAAATGTAAATCAGTAGGCCTATTTATAGGTACTGAACTTGATCCAAAGAGCTTGGGTTCAGCAGTCACTTCCACGCCGACCTCTGCTCTGGAGGAGGAATGTGCTGGCAGTCCTGACTCAGCTGTTCGATGCAGCCTGACAACCATGTCTGCGCTGATGTTTGTCCTGCCACGGTTCAACTTATCATTTCATTCCCTATAGGGTCCATAATCAAGATTCCCTGGTGTGTCCTTTCAGACTTTATGATATTTCTTCCAGGAAACTCAACCTCTGATCTGGCGCTTCTAGAAAGGACCTGTAGGCAAATGTAAGCAGAAAAATTACAAACCAGCCTGTGGTTGATATGACTAAATGGCTCTGGTTAATTTTTATAATCAGCATACAGAATGGAGGGAAGTAGAATCCTCTATTAAGATATAATACTTACGATTTATTCACTGTATAAGGGTCTGGGAGCATGGTTTTTCTGAACCTGAAAAGTATATAACCACTGAAACACACTTATATAAATAACAAGTTACTTATATGTAATTCAACTAGAAAGACTGAAGTTTTCTTTTGACATTTTCAGGTTTTAATATTTTGGTTTGGTAAACAAAATCACTCTCGTATGAGTTTTCAGTTTTTTAAACCTGTGCTATCTAATATAATAGCCGCTAGCCACATGTAGCTATTTAAAATTAAATTATTTAAAATCAGATAAAATTAAAAATTCAGTTCCTCAGACATACTAGTCACATTTCAAGTGCTCAACAACCACACGTGGCTGGTAGTTATAGTATTGGACAGTGCAGATCTGGGACATTTCCACTGTCTCAGAAAGCTCTATTGGACAGTGCTAATCTAGAGAATGCCATATGAATCTGGTTGTATTCATTGCCTCTCCTTTGTAAGATGAAGAACCAAATCTTGTGTTTCGCCATGGCTGCCCAGGAAACCCCAAAGATATTTTAGCTGTAAAAGACATCTTAACAGTTTCATGATTGCAAATTTGGGAAAGAGCAATATTAAAAAGAGTCATCAGGATAGATTGGTCACAAAAACAAGATGTTGTTGTCTTGGAACAGTTGCTGTCTTGGCTGTGTCATTAAACAGAGTAACAATAAAATATTTAAAATAAAGAGAAGTTAAAATAATAATCATTAAATTTATTAGTTATTCTTTTTTTTGGATGAGGAAGATTGGCCCTGAGCCAGCAGCTGTGCCAGTCTTCCTCTATTTTGTATGTGGGACACTGCCACAGCGTGACTTGATGAGTGATGTGTAAGTCCACAGCTGGGATCCGAACCCACAAACCCTGGGCCAAAGCAGAGGGAAAGAACTTAATCACTACACTACCGGGCTGGCCTCTATTAGTTATTCTTGAAGTGAAGATTCCTTGTTGCTTCTTGAAACAACCCAGGAGCATGGTAAAACGTGACATGAAAGCAAAGCAGTAGACATTTGAGAGTCAGAGTTTGCACTAGGTGAGGCAATGTAAAGTTCTCACCTTCTCAGAGTGTACAGCAGGCGAGAGTAACTCTTTATTTCCTCCTGTGGAGAGCAGACTACAGGCTAAGGTGAGAATTTTTCCTTAGCCCTCAGTCCTCTCCTTTCTACCACAGCTAAGCTTTTTACTTATTGATGGTATTATAGCACTGTATATATTTAAACATATACATATATAATATACAATGTCCAATAGCATTTATATTTGAAAATGTAAATTTAAATCTTAAATAACATTATAAAACAATGTATCTATTACATTATTTTACCATTTTGATTTGTTTTCTAAAGAATATGTTTGTGTATAGGCAAGCATATAAGTAAAAACTATTGGGTTAAAAAAACTACATTGTGATAATTCAGTAATTTTTTTCTCTCTGTTTTAGGAATTCTGATTTTCCTAGAAATTTTTGTCTATTAAAAATTAGTCATTACTTTCAAATATAAAAGTCAGCAAGAGTTTTTAGAAATTTAAGCATCCTTAAATAATCTGCAATCACTATTGATATTAAAATTATCATAAAAATTACATTTTTAGAATTTCCATACTTTGATTAGAGTACCTCTGCAGATTCACATAATTTGCAGCATGTCTGAAGTCCCAAATCAATTCTTTTCATGAAGATTTTGATTATATAATTCAATTTGGTTGAACACAAATGTTTACATTTTCACATTCTCAAACATTTATGAAAACAATGTTAGTTTAAAATGAATAAAAACAGTATAGGAAATATATAGAGTTCAGATTGATTATCCTTTCTGTGAGAAAATAAAGCAAATTTTGCATAGACTAGAACATTATGCTAACATTATTTTTATACTGTGATAAAATCAGGAGGGCATCATAGAAAAGTAGTCTATTTCCCAAGGATTGCCTTTGACTAGAAATATTGTTTGAGGGTGAAACCCGGCAAACAGCCATTGATGATTAAGCATCTAGGTACTCAAGTTTTTTCCTTTTTGCAGTTACTGATTACAGGTTTTAGCTGTGTAGCCCACCCATTGTTAACTGTGCTGCTTAGGCAATCTGCTACCTGACTCCCACCAGGCTCCTACAGATAATATCTCCCTGGAGCCTGGGTCACCATGGTAATGGGTGTGTGAGCTGTTTTTCAGGAATTAGAACTCCTTGTCCACTTCAGGCCAGTTGAGGCCACCAACCCCTCAACTGGGCCCACACAGATGTCTGATAGGCGACCTTTTGACATCAAGAAGCTAAAAACTCCACCCTCTGATCATGCTAACACCACCATTTTGTGAACATGGGTCCTATGAAGAGGCATGGAGTCTGACTATGCTTGCGCAGATCATGGATTACCTCACCTCTCCTCACCTCCAATCACCTCTCTCCACATTTCAGACCACCTTGCCCCCATCCCATAAATATCCCTGAGTCCCTACTTTTGGGGAAGCCAATTTGGGGCTCATGCTCTGGCTTCCTCACATGGCTGCCTTGGAAGTAAACTCTCTCTCTGCTGCGATGTCATCGTCTTGGTGTTTGGCTTTCTGGGCGGCGGGCAAAAATGAACCTGGTTCAGTAACAAATGGCGAGCCAGCCAGGAGCTAAGTGCAGATGGACCTTTTTGCCCGAGATTCGTGAGCCCCTTTCCAGTATGGAGGACCTGTGGGTGCATCCAGCAGCTGCCGGGTGCATTTCTCCTGGGACTGTTCTGGGACTCTTTCCTGGCTTGGCGCTGCCGACTGCTTGGTGCATATTTTCACTTTCAGTAGAGAGACAGCTTCTTGGTTTGGAAGATGTCTTTTTGGTGAGTAACTTGGGTACAAGTGATCGCATTCTTATTCCTCCTTCGTTTAAGTCTGACTTCCGAAAGGAAGCCTTGGTTTGGCAGGGGACGCCCTCCGGGACTTCCAACAAAGGAAGCCTTGGTCTGACCTTCATTGTGAGGGTCTTGGTTTCGAGGATGCTCAATAATAAGTAAGAACTAGGGGATCCACTCACAGAAGTGCTCTTGGCTTGGCTTGGTTTGGTTTGTTTTGAGATCTGGTTCTAGCTGCTGCATAAATATACTTTGACCGGCCGGGTCTAAATTCTGAAACAATGGGGAATGCTAATTCCATTCCTACCTGCAGCCCCCTAGGCTGCATTCTTCAAAATTGGACAACTTTCAATTACAAGTCCAAGAAGAAGACAAAGATGGTATTTTTCTGTAACACCACATGGCCACAGTCAGAGAGTTCTCTGGTCTTAATAACTTAATCAAATTTGGAATCTCAGCTTCCACTCGTGGTCTTACTGATGCTAATGGAAGCTCCACATCCCACCCTAACCCCACCTCTGCCTGGTATTGAAGCGTCCATGTTCCACCCCGGGAGCTCTTCTCTGGTTTTTGGGCACCTGGAGTGATTCCAGGTTGGCCCTTTGGTCAATCGTTGACTGACAATCTGGAACCCTGTTTTCTCTCCTGTCAAGAGCTTATTGAGGATTTTAGGCACCTACTAAGTCAGTTGTGGGGACGGGAGACCGGTAATTTATTCTGTAAACTGTCTTGCCCAGGAACTGTTGTTTGTGTGACCTTATCTTGATGACTCTTGGGAAGAGGCTGGGAGGGTGAGGCCTGATCACCTCTTTCCCTTCTTCGTCTGTCTCGTTCATCACCTCCTCTGTTGTCATCAGCTAGGGGTTCAGTTCAGGCTGGACCTGAGCAGAACCTAGACCTTCTGTAAAGTCAAAATTTGGAAAACTTTCTGCTAGGGACTTAACTCTCAACCCTGGCACTGGGAGCCCACCCCGGCCAGCTCCAAGCCTTTGCCTCTTGCCTCCCTGGCTTGCCTTGTGCTGAATGGGACTTGACTAAATCTTATAACTATATTGACGCCTGTGGTCAGGCTCTGCACCCTTCTCCGGCCCACTGTCAGTCAGACACTTACTGTCAGTCAGCCTTAGCACCATGCGGATGCCCCAAGCATCTGTGGAGTCTCACCCCTCGGGTGCATTTTAATTAATTGGAAATGCTTTCAACTTTGGATAGGTTATGCCCCAGAAACTCCATCTTGGAGAAAACGTGAGTGGTTTCTCTGTGCCTTTATGATGTAATTGGACAGGTAGATCAACCCATAGTGTCATTTGAGTCACAACCCAATTTCTGAGAAATCAAGAGCAACTGTCCTAGGAAAATCCTTGTAAGACTGGAAATGTAGCTCTAGAGGCAGTTCCACCCATTTCCCTTATCTCAGAGAGCTTGCAAATCCTCTGGGGACTATCTAGCCCATCACTAATTTCTAAGACTGAATAATAAAAGGGGGAAAAGGCCAAAAAAATGGCCAGAAGAGCACCTTTGCCAAAAATCTAGCATCTTGAGTGTCTTCTCCACAAATATTAGTAAAAAGGCTTAAAACAAAATTTGGATGCATACCTAGGGAGCTTTGTATTACTGTACCTGATTCATGGCAGTAATTTTTAAAACAATAGCTGTGGAGATTCTGTGTATGTGTGTCTATATGTATGTCAGATGTGTGTGATATTTTTACCTCCAGATGGTATGGCCAAAATTGAGAACTCTGTTTAATTGGCTTAAAGTAAGCGCTTACCTAAATTATTTCTAAATGGAAAAGAAATTAATCCAAATGTTTTTTAAGTTAACATGCTATAAAATTAATCTTTGGTAAATGAAAGCTTATTTAAATTTGTTGGTCTGATTAAAATGGACATGCCCTCAGAGTCAGCACTGGACATGATGCAGACACGCAGCCTTTATTCTACATTTATTGGTCGAATAAGCTGATGCTATCTCTGTTACCAAACTGGTTAGCAGAAATAATTTTAAATGATGGCTAATTTTGTCTAATGTTTCATGAAGTTTTATAGGCAATCTAAATAATTATTGGGAATGAGTAAACTAAATGTGGAAAAGATAAAAGTGTTGGGTGAGCTTTTAAAAATAGTGATGTCTTATGACATGTATATTTAAAATAACTTCCAAAATCTTTCTGGTAACTTGAAACTTTGAGGTGTTGCTAGATAAAATTGAGTGATAAAAAACTCACTGAATACCTCAGTCATTTTTCAAATGAGATAAAATACTGAAACATTATCATTAGACATGTCTAGGTTTATCTATGTTTGGCTTCTTATTGCAAAGAAACTAAAATGTGTTTGGGTCTAATAGTAAACATGTCTTGTATTTTATTAAGATTGTACCATGAAGTAGCATGTTCCTAGAAATTATAAAACATATTTATATTGGGGGCTAGCCCAGTGGCGCAGTGGTTAAGTTCACACGTTCCTCTTCTTGGTGGCCTGGGGTTCGCCGGTTCGGATCCCAGGTGTGGACATGGCACCACTTGTCGCACCATGCTGTGCTACGCGTCCCACATATAAAGTAGAGGAAGATGGGCACGATGTTAGCTCAGGGCTAATCTTCCTCAAAAAAAAAATTATAAATTTGCCAAGCCACAGTATGCTAATGTAAAGGACAGTTCATAATTGCTTACTTTTTAGTAGGATCTGTATGGGTTAAAAATTCTAATTAATATATGTAATTAAAGCTACTAAAAATTAATAAGGCAAACAACTCTGTATACAAGGAAATTAAAATGTATGTTTTCAGTAAAGAAGCTATAAAGAATGGAAGTATTTTTGTTTGTTAGGTTAAGAAAGATAAATTTGTCCTCAAGTACTAGAAGGGAAGAAAGGAAGCATGGGACAAATTCTGAATGTAAAAAGAAAGTTATAGAAGGTTTGTGAAAGAGAAATTCTGAAGGGAGTTTTATGCCTTGTCAAGTTGGCTAAGATTAAAGTAAATCCAATTAAGTAAATGAGTTTTAATGAAAAAAACAATAAGCTGGTACAAAAATTAAAATTTTGTTTTCTCTCTCTAAAGGATAATTTTCTTGACCTTTGGTCTGCTCTTGATAAAGAAGTTATAAAAGGCTTTTTCTTTAGTTTTGATAAGTCTACCTAAAAGACAGAAAATCTATGTTTTGTTACAATAATTCCCTCTGTTCAGAAAGACTGGGGTCTCTATTCAGATCTTTTGACTGTTTTAGCTGTTTGCCCTTGACTGGTTCTGTTGTCACTTTGAATGGATGACTGAGCATGGTTTCCGATCTGAACAAGTGTTTTAAAACCTTTTGATGTTTTTGACAAGCTCTCCCCACCACCGAAATATTCAAATCCTGAATACTTTCATTTGGCTTGGAAGAAGGAAGAGAATTTCTCTGAGGATTTTCAGAGGGCCCCTGAGACTTCTCAAGGAAATTTCCTCTCGCTTCCTAGAAGGAGGAAGACACTAAGCTAATTAGGCTTATTTGGTATGTTAAATTACATGGGAAACATTGTCAAATAAGTGATGATAAACTTTCTAGGGTGGTATTATGTGAGTCAATGTTATTGATATAAATGTTTTAAAAATTATATAACATTCCTAAAATTCTGATTGGTCCTGGTTGTCAGCCACAATTCTGGTTATTATTTTAAAGTATTATATGTGACAAAACTAACCAAATTTCTTTGTCAGTTGCCATTTTGGGATCTTGTTGTTTACAGACAGTTATTGTTTTACTCTGATGCTTTCACAAAATGTTTCATCTTCAGAGAAATTCATGGAAAGGACTCTGACACTCTAGAATAAGGTTCCTTTTTTTTTTTTTTTTTAAAGATTTTTATTTTTTCCTTTTTCTCCCCAAAGCGCCCCTCCGGTACATAGTTGTATATTCTTCATTGTGGGTCCTTCTAGTTGTGGCATGTGGGACGCTGCCTCAGCGTGGTTTGATGAGAAGTGCCATGTCCGTGCCCAGGATTCGAACCAACGAAACACTGGGTCGCCTGCAGTGGAGTGCATGAACTTAACCACTCGGCCACGGGGCCAGCCCCAAACAGGTTAAGATTTCTTTGCAGTGCTTTCTTTTTTTTTTTGAGGAAGATCAGCCCTGAGCTAACATCTGCTGCCAATCCTCCTCTTTTTGCTGAGGAAGACTGGCCCTGAGCTAACATCCATGCCCATCTTCCTCTACTTTCTATGTGGGACGCCTGCCACAGCATGGCTTGACAAGCGGTGCCATGTCCACACTGGGGATCCGAACCGGTGAACCCAGGGCCGCCGAAGCAGAACGTGTGCACTTAACCACTGCACCACTGGGCCAGCTAGAATAAGGTTTCTAATAAACTTTCAGATCGTAAAACTGAACTGGGTAAGAAATTACAGAACTCTAACAGAGAAACTCATGACCTCATACAACTGCCAACAGAAGATTAAGATCAAGAATTGACTACACAGGACTGAATGAACTGATGAGGATGATTATGATTTATAGGACTTTTCATTTGAGATATTGCTGATTTTTTGATGTTCTGTTTTGTTTCCAGATTTAAAGAAGTCTTTTTCTCTTTCTCTCTCATGCTAACTATGACATATCAATTTGATAAATTATACCTTTGTAAGCAGATTTGAAACACTTATTTTTCTCCCTGCCTGATCCCTCCAGGATTTGGAAATTCTTAATGAGTGAGTATCGTTTTCATGGCAATGTAGTTATTTGCCATAAGTTCAATAAGAATCTGTTCTCCTTATAACAGGACACAATTGGAAACACTGGTTATCTTACCAAGGCTTTGACTGGAATGTCATATTTGAGAGAAACTGGCATAGACTCAGATATGACCAGACAGCTTTTAAGAAGCAAGGGTTGGACTTTGTGGAACAAAGCCACTTGGAAATATTGGCCTGGTACCTTGTTTACAAGGATTCCAGGACCCGGGGTAAGTAAGGAAGGTCACTTATCTGGCAGGCGCCTGGAACTCGAAATATATTGGAGGTCCTCAAGAAGAGAGGAATCCACCCAAATCTGTAGATATTGCAGGCAAAATCTGATGACAAGTCTTTGGCTTGGTTTTCTTGGCCTTGAGAGGCCTTTAAAGTTCAACCTGAGATTCCTCAGAAAGAGTTCCAGCAAAGCAGATTTGAAAGAACCTATATAATCAGTTGCTATTCTTACTGTACTTCTGTAAATAATTGAGGCAATTTTCTTGAAACTAAACTTATCTTGCAAACCAATTAGTCTTAATTTGGCTATCTTTGGTAAAAATGAGGGTGATTTCAGAGAGAAAAATTATGTTTCAATAAAAGCTATAGTACACATTCATGGATATTAGGTTCTAGTCCTGATAATTGTCTTTGAGGTTTTTATTTTATATCTGTTAACTGGACTGGATCCTGAATTCTTCTAGTCTCTTGAAATATCTGGCCACAAATCTCCAAATTAATGTTTTCAATTTTTTTCCCATTATTTTCATTTGGAATCATTGAGAACTGAACCTGCCCTTTTTCCTGAACCTTTGCAAACTGAAGCTGGACAAATTAATATAGACTTAAGAGAATTCACGTCTGTTGCTATGTAAGACACTCAGTAAGATACCTAAAGACCTGATAACATCATCAGAGACATTTCAAACTGCAAAAGATGCTTTGATTCTGACGCCCAGAAATCTTTTGACTGTCTGCTGCCTGGACTCAGAAAGGTTTATAATTTGCTGGTTTATAATTTGCACCCACCATTAACCATGTTTTTCTTTTTGTCTCTCTAGAAATACTTCGTATTAAATACCTGGTTACTTGCTAACACAATATGGGCTGAACTTTGGGAGCCCACCTGCATCACCGTCTTACTAAGGGACTGGTCCAATGAGATGGAACAACCTATGCTCCTCACCAACAGGATAACCCCTCAAGATTGAAGATGAACAACAAAAGGGGGGATTGATACGGGTTAACACAAGGTTAACATAAGGGAAGCCATATTGTAAAGAAGAAACCATATTGTAACTTTGAATGACCTCTGATTAACTAACCCAGACATGCTCTGTAGATTTTATGGACCCTGTCAGCTGCTATAATTTGATAAGTTTGTTCTTTTGAGTTCCTTAGGAATGTGATGACCCCCAGGTAGAGAGTCTGTGCTGATGGCCATCATCATTGACAACTGAAAGATCAGGGTATAGGCCATTGCTCTGGTCTCTGATGCATCTCCAGTAAAACAAAAGACTATCAGAAACTGAGACCAGATGTCTTCCCCACCTGGAGAACAGATGGAGGCCCCACTGGGATTAGGTCTATTTTTCAGGGACTGTGAAAATTTGGGTTGTCTATACTTCTTGTCCTTCTGGTAAGCCAGGAACATGAGAAGATTTCCAAATGAGTGCTAAAAATGTCATTCCTTTAACCCAGATCTCCGCCCCAATCTAGCAGGCAGTAGCTAGATCGGTCATCACCCCAAATCCCTCAAGAATGAGAAGTGACCAAACAATAGGGGGGATTGAAACCAGCAAACAGCCATTGATGATTAAGTATCTAGGTACTAAAGTTTTTTCCTCTTTGCAGTTACTGATTATAGCTTTTAGCTGTTTAACCCAGCCATTGGTAACTGTGCTGTTTAGGCAATCTGCTACCTGACTCCCACCAGAGTCCTATAGATAACATCTCCCTGGAGCCTGGGTCACCATGGTAATGGGTGTGTGAGCTGATTTCAGGAATTAGAACTCCTTGTCCACTTCAGGCCAGTTGAGGCCACCAACCTCTCAACGGAGCTCAAGCAGATGTCTGATAGGCAACCTTTCGACATCAAGAGGCTAAAAACTCCACCCTCTGATCATGCTAATACCGCCATTTTGTGAACATGGGTCCTATGAAGAGTCATGAAGTCTGACTACGCTTGTGCAGATCATGGATTACCTCACCTCTCCTCACCTCCAATCACCTCACTCCACATTTCAGACCACCTTGCCCCATCCCATAAATATCACTGAGTCCCTTTTTTTGGGGAAGCAAATTTGGGGCTCATGCTCCCACTTCCTCACTTGGTTGCCTTGGAAGTAAACCCTCTCTCTGCTGCGATGTTGTCATCTCACTGTTTGGCTTTCTCGGGGGGAGGAGTGGAGGGGGGCAAACACGAACCTGGTTCAGTAACAAGGGGCTGGCCTGGTGGCGCGTAGCTGTTAAGTTTGTGTGCTTTGCATTGCCGGCCCAAGGTTCACCATCCTGGATCTTGGTTGTGGAACTACGCACTGCTTATCAAACCATGCTGTGGCAGGCGTCCCACATATAAAGTAGAGGAAGATGGGAACAGATGTAAGCTCAGGGCCAATCTTCCTGAAAAAAAAGAAAGAAATATTGTTTGGAATTTTCCTCTTTTTACAACTATTAACACTTTCAACTGTAGAAAGCACTGAGCTATAACCTAATAACCTTCTATTTGTAACATAATAACCAAGGTCATTAACCCAAATCTTTGTTTCCCTTTAGAGCTGCTGTCTCAGCAGGAATGGTTTTCTTAAAAGACCCAAAACATTTAAAACATTGGAAATCAATTTTTTCTTTTGGAAATTCTTGCGGTTTTAAAAAAATTAATATAAGGACTCATAAGTTTCCATAAACCAATTAGCACAAGAGCTCCCAAAGAATTTAAGAAACCTTGTAATCTGATTCATGAAATTTCTCCCACCAAGTGTGAGAGCTGCCTGCCTGGCCTCGATGATCCCAGAGGGCACACTATCGACAGGCGGTGCAGCCCAGCCGAAAGGCTGCGTGCGTCACAGGCCTGAGGACGCCCCTCGAGGGAGGGGTGGAGAGTTCCGAGCACGGCAGCCCCCACTTTAACGCAGAACCCACAGAAGGGACGCCTTCTTCAGCCAGAGGACAGACTGAAAGCAAGCTCAGGAAATGACACTGATTGTCGCTTTTCTCCTGAAAAGCCACCAAGACTGAAAGCTCAGTTGACAAAACTTGAAAGTTAAAATAGTCTCACAGAGGCCTGCTGGGAATTAGAAAAAGTCACAAGATACGGTAACTGGGTCACCCTCAGTTAACAAGAATAAGCCCAGGGATGCAGAGTGAGCGCAGTTCTGTCAGCACTGGGAGAATCACCCACAGGCTGGGGCCCCACGAGACCAAACCCGAGCACAAAAGGGCACCTTTCGGCTCAGAGTCCAGCAATACTGGCCTCAGCAAAGTGAGGTTCGTCAGGGTAATTTTGGTAGGACCTCCAGACACCAGAAAAGAAAAGACCAGCAGAGGTGGAGGGTCACGAAGCTGAGTCTGTCAGCTTGCAAGAGAACCCCTGCCAGGGAAGAAACTGACTCAGAGTAGGACCCTGAGAACAAAATGTGTGTGTGTTGTCAGCTGTCAAGGACTAGAAAGACGGTCACTCTAGGCAAGCTCTGAAAACTAGCACTCTGGACAAACCGAGTAAGCCCACAAGTTTTCACAGGTGGCTAAGATCAGCAAAGAATTGCAAGTTAGGGTCTGCAACCTTGGCAAGCCACGTGCAAGTCCCCCAGCAGCAAGGGAGCAGAAGCTCCTTCCTACAGCGAAGCCGCAGTCGGAAAGGCTGTTGCAAACGGAGTCCAGAGGGGCGGGGCTTTTCACATGCTGCGTTGTGACAGCCTCTATTGGCCGAGCTTCCAGCCAGTCAACAAGAGGAAGTCTTTCTTCTTCCTGCTGGGCTCTGCTGTCCATGTAGGGCCTGAGAGCTCCCCCTCTTGGCCTCCTGACTCCAATTTAATGACGTTTCTGTTTGTTAATTTGACAGTGAGGTCCTGCAAGGGCCTGGCATCCTGGGGTCAGGCAAAGTGCACCATCCTTTATCAGCTTTAACTGAGGAGTACCAATAGCGGTGAAACACAACATTCAGTCTTGTTATCTCCTAGGCAAGTGCTGCTGCAAGGGGCACTTTTCCTTTTGCACACCTGAATCCCCTTCTCCTCGTGGCCATCATTCACACAGATTACTAGGAATCACCCGGTCTGGGTAGGCGAGGTTCCTTTTAGCCCCGAGGCTATGCTGCTTCTGTGCCATGTGACACTTGGAGGGGAGAGGGGGCGCCTAGATTCAGGCAGCCATTTTCCTCGGAGCCTGGCCGCTCCCCAGGGTCCAGCCCTGCTGCTCAGGGAGCCCTAGGTCTCGCTCCTACACACACATACATACACAGTTATTTCTTCTTAATCTGGGGGAAATCCCTTCCACTGTCTTCCTATTTCCTTCATGAGACCCCTCTCCCCTCACTGAAATACTTCTGCCTTAATATCTTTAGGGCCTTTTGAGGGTGAGGGTGAAATATCCCAGAAAGAGGACAATCTTGCTGACAAATTCTACCTCCATCTTGGCTCAAACCAATAGCCAGTAGCATTCACTTACTTACACATCTGTCTCCTGCCGAGTGGCCTAGGGGCTGGCTGTTGACAGGCCCATGGCTACTGTTGTTGGGCAGTTGGCCCAGTGGGTTGTTTATGGTTTATTTCCTCTCCCTATTGTGGAAAATCCACTAGGCCCCTAGTGGCCTGGCTTGGGCCCCAGGCTGCCTAGAGCCCTCACTGTGGAGGCAGGTCCTCTCTCAGCTCCGGGCTTCTCTCCTTCCCTTTCCTTGATGCCCTCCACCAAAGCTGACCTTTCCTTCCTCTAAAGGAGCGCTTCTCAGAGTGTGAGTCCAGGACGAGCGGCAGCAGCATCGCCTGGGAACTTATTAGAAATGCAGACTCTCAGGCTCCACCCCCGACCTGCTGAGTCAGAAGCTGGGGACCGGACCCAGCGCTCTGTGTTAACGAATCCTCTAGGTGATTCTGAGGCATGCGCAGGTTTGAGAATCGCTGCTCCACATCATTGCCTCAACGACATGGCTCTCGTACCAGCAGCATCAGCATCACCTGGGAACTTGCTGGAAATGCAAGTTCATGAGCCTCAGGCCAGAAAGCCTAATCAAAATCTCAGGTGGGGCCAGGAATCAGTGGTTTATCAAGCTCGGCAGGTGATTCTTACACACCCTTAAATTTGAGAATCACTGCTCTAAATTTCTCTCAGGGTTCAGCTCTCTGATTTTGAATGGGAAAATGAACTTTAAAAGAGAAAACAATTTCCCGCTCATAATTTTCACGGAACAGGCGAGGCCTCGGAACTCGATCCTTTGTCACTTGACGAGAAATATGAACGCGTTTAACCCAGTGGATGTCGAACTTTGTGACGGGGCTGGAGGGGAGCCAAATTCGCCACCACGAAATGTGTGTCTTGGGCGCGAGGCAGTTTTCCTTTAGCTCCCTCCCCTTAACCACCTAGAAGAATTTAGGTGGAGGGTGTGTTTGGAAGGAGAACTATCGCCAGAGACAAATATGAGGAGCAGGGTGAGCTGTGGTGGGGAGCTCAGCAGGGCCTGGGGAACAAAGTTCTCTGTGTCCCGTTGTCTCTGCACACACGGCAAACCTGTGTTCACCAAACATTTGCTTCTCCCGTCTTCCCGTGAATTGTCTTCCTCCCCTTTGAAGCCCCAGACCCCTACCCCCTTCTCTTTAGCTCAGAATAGCATATAAACCTCAATGCCAGAATGTCTTCAGGCCTCATAGTCTAATGGAGCCCCCATATGTATGAAATTAAATTTGATGTTTTCTTGTTAATCTAATTTAATTCTTAGAGCAGCCAGAAGAACTTACAAGGGTAGAGAAAAATTCTTCGTCCCCCACATACTCATCTTAAGAAATGCATTTTCTATCATGACCCAGTACACAAATGCGTGCACACACCCACAGGTCCACAGGCATGCTTTGTTTTATTGTGCTTCAATTTATTGCACTTCGCAGGTATTGCATTTTCTACAAGACCCTCCACCAGCAAAAAGACTGATTTGCTGAAGGCTCAGATGATGGTTAGCATTTTTTAGCAATAAAGTATTTTTTAAGTAAGGTATATACATTGTTTTTCCAGGTATAATGTTATTGCACACAATAGTCTGCAGTACGGTGTAAACATAACTTTTATATGTACTGGGAAGCCTAAAAATGTGTGTGACTCCCTTTCTTGTGATATTTGCTTTTTTGCAGTGGTCTGGAACCAAACCCACAATATCTCCAAGGTATGCCTGTAATCAAAATCACCAGTTTTGGGGTTTTTTTAAAGGAAGATTAGCCCTGAGCTAACATCTGCGGCCAATCCTCCTCTTTTTGCTGAGGAAGACCCGCCCTGAGCTAACATCCATGCCCATCTTCCTCTACGCCTGCCACAGCATGGCGTGCCAAGCAGTGTCACGTCTGCACCCGGGATCTGAACTGGCGAACACTGGGCTGCTGAAGCAGAATGTGCGAACTTAACTGCTACACCACTGGGCTGGCCCAAAGGCACGGTTTTTTGAAACAAAATTTTTACTATGTTTTATGTTCTCTGAATTTTTCTATTATAATTCTTTTTTTATTTTAAAAGTGATCACAACCCACTAAATTAATTTTACAACTCATTAGAGGATTGGAACTCACTGTTTGAAAAATACTGATTTGAACAATTTCCTTTGGGAAAGAGTAAAGCTGTGAAGGAAGGTAAATTTTAGAGGTGAAAATATTTATTTGTTTTTTATGTAGTAGCAGAGAGAAATGTGAATACTAATGAGCAGTAGAACTTTAAAAAGTATGCTAGAACTCACCAATTAAAAAGGGGAAAAAAAGGGGGCTGGCCCCGTGGCCGAGTGGTTGAGTTCGCGTGCTCCGCTGCAGGCGGCCCAGTGTTTCGTTGGTTCGAATCCTGGGCGCGGACATGGCACTGCTCATCAAGCCACGCTGAGGCGGCATCCCACATGCCACAACTAGAAGGACCCACAACGAAGAATCTACAACTATGTACTGGGGGGCTTTGGGGAGAAAAACGGAAAAAAATAAAAAAAAATCTTTAAAAAAAAGTGCGAAAAAAGAAATAAATAGCAATTTAATCAAATCTGGGGGGGGAAAAGGAAGACCAAATTCTCCCAAAGAAAGATAGAGTGTTAAATCGGATTAAAATGGAAACCCACCCATATGCTGATAATGAGAAGTGCAGATAAAATGAAGTGATATATACAGGCTGAAATTAAAGGGACAAAGATAGGAAAACAAACAAAAGTAGTAAAAATTAAGGTAAAAGTATCATCAACCTGAATAGAAGGATATTATGAAATGATGAAAGACACAATTAATGAAGATGATATGATAGAAATAAACCTACATGCACTAAACAACTTAGGAGCTGAATACATAAAGAAAACACTATCAAAAATATCCCTAATAGGGCCAGCCAGGTGGTGCAGCGGTTAAGTTTGCACATTCTGCTTTGGTGGCCTGGGGTTCACTGGTACAGACCCTGGGTGCCGACATGGCACTGCGTGTCAAGCCATGCTGTGGCAGGCATCCCACATATAAAGTAGAGGAAGATGGGCATGGACGTTAGCTCAGGGCAAGTCTTCCTCAGCAAAAAAGAGGAGGATTGGTGGCAGATGTTAGCTCAGGGCTAATCTTCCTCAAAAAAAAATTTTTTTTAACTTAAAAAAAATTCCTAATAGATAAAAATTAATTAACCATGTAGCAAAAGCAAATAATTATTAATATATAATTTAATAGACATATAGAGAAATGTCTCTCACATTGAAAATTTTTTTATGTCCATGAGCATTTACAAAAATTGATCATGTTTTTGTCAAAAAAGCAAAATAATAATGAACAAATTCAAAAAAGTGTCAACCTTACTTTTCTGATCATAATCCAACATAGTAAAAATTTAAAAAGTAAGCAGAATTTTAACTACTTGGAAATTAGGAAATACACTCCCCAATCATTATATCAAAGAAGATGAAGGGGATCAGATGCCACTCGGCTAAGGATTGTTGCGAGCTGATGGCAAACGGCTCTCTGCCCTCCCCTTTTCTGTCTAAAAGCAGGACGTAAATTTCCCTTTGTAAAGGTAGCAGACACTTCCGTTTGTGAAGGTGTCTCCCTCTCCTGCTGCAGGAAGACAAGTACCCTGCAGACAGGAGGCAGCGCCTCATCTGAGATGATTCTCATCTGTAAAACACGCCTTACGAAGCAGCCCTTGTTTGCCATGTATTTGCTAGTCTCCTTCCCAAACTTACTCATCTGCAGAAGCTCCAAAGCCCTTGCCTTTGTCTCGCTTCTTCTCCACACTTTATCCCCCTTTACCAAGATGGTCTCTGAGCACCAAATTTAACCGCCTCCTTGAGTCACGTTTCTTTGTGAACTCATGTGCATAGGTACATCATTAGGTTTTTTCTCCTGTTACCCTGTCTTTTATCAGTTTGATTTCCTGGCTCCGGCCAGTGATCCTAAGAGTGGAGAGGAAGAGTTTGTCCCTCCTCTACAAAGTATCCACTCTGAAATTGTAAATTATCTTATAAGTAATAAAAAAGGAGAACACTTCCTCCCAAACCTGTGGGATGCATCAAAAGCAGAGCGGGGGGCCAAACACGTGTTAAAGTTACTTCATTGCTAAAGAAGACAACGAAGGAGAAAGAGCACACAAGATAATTTAATTATCATGTTAAACAACACAAAAAGAACAACGAAACTGACCAAAAGAAATAAGGAGG